GCCCCCAGATCTGTGTGGGGTAGGGCAGGCTGGAGTCAGGGCAGCACCGGGCTTTTCCCTGGAGCCATGGTTCATCCAGGAGGCGTTGGTAGTTCCTGCCGCTGTGCGCACCCCAAGAGTATTCTTTGAGTGAGTTTGCCAGTCTGCAATATCAAAAGTTTGGGAACCTCTGCTCTACGTTGTTAATGCAAATACTGCTGGCAAGGTCTTATTGAAAGACTGTTGATAAGTTGAATATGATGACTTTTCTTATACAAATGAAAATGCTCACCATTTTGAACATGCTTTAATTGACAGCTATATCTGGGTTTGGGTTTCTCATGAATTGTAAGTGTAGGAAAAATGAATGTAATGCTTAAAACTTTTGATCAACACTGGTCTCCCGCAACATTATCATTAACAAGCTAAGGAAATACAGGCTAGATGAATGTACTGTAACAAGGATACAAACCTGATTGGTCACAAAGCTGATTGGTCACCATGGTCAACAAGTAGTCATCAATGGCTCAATGTCTGGTTGGGATAAGGTATCAAGCTAAGTTCCCCAGTGGTCTGTCCTAGATCTGGTAATCAACATCTTTAGTAATTATTTGAATAACAGGATTGAGTGCAAATTTAGCAAATTTGTGGGCAACACTAAGTTAGGTGGAATTGCAGACACTCTGGGTGTTAAGTCCAGGATCCAGAAAGACCTGGAAAACCTGGAGAAAAGTTCCAAAATATCCCTCAAATGAAATTCAACATGGACAAATGTGAAGTCTTGCTCCTGGGATGGAATACTTGCACACACAAATGCAGACTGGTGTTCTCATCAATTCTTCCTGTAGAATGCAAGGCTCCAGGTAGAGACCATCATGTCCTTGAAGTGAATTCATGGCTAAGACAATGGTGTTGATCTGAAGGCTTTGGCTTCTTCGACATGGGTGGATGTTCTTGAGAGTAGGGTGCACTGATAAAGATTTTTTGGGCCAATACCGATGGCCGATTATTAACAAGCCATACTGGCCAATACCGATCCAATTGCCGATATACATCTTGGCAGCTTGGAGAGCAGCGTGCAGCTGGTAATTCTGTGGGGGAAATGGGGCAGGGGAAGGGAAGAGGAGTGTGGGGAGTGCAGATCGAGGCCCCTGCGAGGGGGGAGGAAGTGGGGCTGGGGCAGAAGCAGGGGCAGATACTGCCCAAACAGGGTGAGGCAGGAGACAGAGCTATGAGCAACTCATTCAGGGGTGCAGGAAAGGGGGAGTAGCTGCCACCACTAACGCACCCCAGAGCAGCACGTGTCCCCTGGATCTGTGCGCAGGGCAAGGGTGGGCTGCCACTACGAGCTGGGGCTGGGAGCGGTGCTGGGCTCACATACATAACATGGGCTCCCTACATAATTTATTTATGGTCCCCCTACATAATAGTTGCATCCAAACTGAAATTTTCATAATTTGGTAGCAAGTACACTACATTGAGGTATAATCAAAAAGAAAAGATACTTCATAACCAAACATACAACAGAAAGTTAATTCAGACATCCCCAACTTGGAAAATATGTCAAAGACTTTACCACAAAATAAAAGCAGATCAATTAGCCTATGTTTTGTCTTTGTTCAGTTTAGAGGAAAAGCTGGAACTTTCTATTTCAAGTGTTATACTTTTGTTTAAAAAAATAAAGTTTCACAAATCCAGTGACAGGCATTGGTATCAAAATAACCATTCAGCTTAACATAATAAAGAGTAAAACGTATTTTATAATGGTCCTTCACAGCTGATTCTTACCTGAATTCCTTCAGATACTCCATCTCCAAATATTTTGTATTTAGTTTTAATGGCCTTTGCCTTTTTTTCCTAACCTGCTTCAGTAGTCTAATCAGTTCCCTGGAATTCAACCATCTACACTAATTGTGTCAAACTCACCCTCTACTGCTGCTTCCAGCCTGGGGTAAAAGGGCAGTCATAGAAACAGTAGGTAAGCAGCCCTTGCTCATCCATCTACTGCCAGTGGCCAAGTCCAATGAAACCTAGTATTTTACAACAGTTCCCACCCCTGCTGGCCATGCCCCCAAATTCCCTGGCTCCCTAAACACAAAAACACCATTTCATATAGCCCAGTTAAATCCAAGGTTCAAAAAATTCAATTAATTCCATGTATTTAATCATTTTTCCCCAATAGTTTTATAATTAATGAACCTTGTATTTGAACATACAAAAAAAAGTTTGTAAGTGAATCACAAATTATACTTTGAACTTAAGAAAATATATACCCTCTGGCATTAAGCACTGTTCCATTTAGTGTCGTATTGATTTAACAAACAAGTCACGCTCTTGGAATCCAGTCTAATGTCCAACTTATGTCATAAGCAAAGTGCTCTGTGCTACCACTTGCATCTTATATGGAATCACTATGGCATGTTCCCCCTAACCCCACTGCTTGTAACCAGCTATTAACGAGTTTTCAATTACATACAAAAATTTGGGAACAGATTAATAACACAGCTAATATGTGCCAACATGTAAAATAAACCCAATAACTTATTTCAACGCTAACAATTCTTGATTATACGTGCACGTCTTCTTTTTCTTTTTTTTTTTTAACATATATGCTCTTATGCAAACAAAGTACATTTACCACCTCAAAAATTATACCAGTGACTTTGGCCATGGGCAGGCATTCATTTCTACTGGTAAGAATGTCTCTGACATTCTTAGCAAAAGAAAAATAGCCTGGGAGCTGGTCCATATGTAAGTTCAAGGCCCCTGGCTAAAGAGCTACACAGGGGTGCTTTCCAGCCAGGGGGCCCTAAAGAGCTGCTCCCTGGACCACCCCGACCCCTTAGGGAGACCATTCATTGACAGCTTGTCAATTGACAGTTGGCAGAGTCCAGCCCTGGGAGAATGCCCTGCCCCCATCCTGCCAATTAGCTGATTAGCAGGAGGGGTGGTCATTCTCCTATATTCTCCTGTTATGGAAACAGTAGCCTATGTTACTGTGCATTGAAGCGTCACATAAAAAAGTGCCACTACACTAATGTACAATAAATACACTACTGCGCATTAAGCGTCACTTAAAAACCATGTACATTTGTTATTGTGCATGTCATGGCGCACCTCGCTGTCCCGCTCCTAGAGAGGGGAAAACTGGCAGGGGAGAAGCTCTGGCAGTGCCTAGGAGCCCTAGCAGTGATTAGGGAGTGCAGCTGTGGGTTGCCGGGGCAACTAGGGAGAGTCAGCTGCCGGTAGGAGGCAGGGCCTGGCCCTTATAAAGCCCAGGGCTGAAGCCAGGCTTTTGAGAAGCCCAAGTTGGGCACAACGAGCCCCAGGGAGGGGGCAACTTTGAGAAGCCCAAGTTGGGCACAACGAGCCCCAGGGAGGGGGCAACTTTGAGAAGCCCAAGTTGGGCACAACGAGCCCCAGGGAGGGGGCAACTTTGAGAAGCCCAAGTTGGGCACAACGAGCCCCAGGGAGGGGGCAACTTTGAGAAGCCCAAGTTGGGCACAACGAGCCCCAGGGAGGGGGCAACTTTGAGAAGCCCAAGTTGGGCACAACGAGCCCCAGGGAGGGGGCAACTTTGAGAAGCCCAAGTTGGGCACAACGAGCCCCAGGGAGGGGGCAACTTTGAGAAGCCCAAGTTGGGCACAACGAGCCCCAGGGAGGGGGCAACTTTGAGAAGCCCAAGTTGGGCACAACGAGCCCCAGGGAGGGGGCAACTTTGAGAAGCCCAAGTTGGGCACAACGAGCCCCAGGGAGGGGGCAACTTTGAGAAGCCCAAGTTGGGCACAACGAGCCCCAGGGAGGGGGCAACTTTGAGAAGCCCAAGTTGGGCACAACGAGCCCCAGGGAGGGGGCAACTTTGAGAAGCCCAAGTTGGGCACAACGAGCCCCAGGGAGGGGGCAACTTTGAGAAGCCCAAGTTGGGCACAACGAGCCCCAGGGAAAGGGACAGCCGTTTAAGAAGCCCAGTGCGGGCGTGACGAGCCCCAGGAAGGGGGCAATACTTTAGAAGCCCGAGTGTGGGCGCAGAGAGAGCCCCAGAAGGGGGGGCATTATCGAGAAGCCCCAGTAAGGGCATAGCAGGCCCCAGGAGGGGGCACTATTGAAAAGGCCCAGACAGGGGGCAATAGCGCAGAGAAGGCCCCGAGAGAGGGCGACGGCGCGGCAAAGGCCCTGAGTGGGCAAGGAGAGCCCCAGGAGGGGGCATCAGTGTACGTAGAGAGACAAACCAATGTCTATCCCATCTGCGAGGCTTGGGGCGTGGTATCAGGGGTGGTTGGAGCCACGCGTAGCCCATAAGGCTAGGGTGCCCCGAAGCACCCATTTGTGCTGGACAAGATCCACGAGGGGTCCAGGAGTCTACGTGTCCAAGAGGGTATAAGGCAGCCTCCCAACTTAACTTAAGAGCAAAGACGTGGCGGGCGAGACTAGAGGGTGCCCTTGGGCCGACTTGACACGGAGAGGGGGCCTCAAGGAGATCACGGCCCTCCTGCAGGACCCCACCGTGACAGTGCATTAATGCCTAATGTGTATCTCTTTAGTAGCTCACACTGGAGGTACTAAATTTAATGTGTATTAGAAAAAGCACCTTAATACACATGTAGACAAACACTTTGAGAACTAAACAAGAGAATAAGTCTCACTTTAATTTTTCATGTTATTAGTATAGAATGCATGATTACTAGATTTGTGATATAAATTCGTATATCACATGAATCTTACATAAATTCTTATACCACATTGACACTTCACATATATCAGCAGCAATGATTTTCAGCACCCCTCTAGAAGCAATTTTACAAAGATCTCAGCAGCCTAGTTTGAAAAACATTACATGAAAAAGCTCACATGATAGACTGAAAAGGAACAACAACAAATGCCTTAGTTTCCAGTTTTAAAACCTCTTTAAAAAAAATTCAGTATTCAAAGAGGAGTTCTCCTTTATCAGTTCAGGTAAATCTTTTTTTCCAAGTTTCTAAGCTATGTGTAAATTTAGTTGGAGCTTTTACAAACATCCTTACCTGCACCTTTTTCAATGCGACTGGTACCCCATCCAGGAGCCAAGTTGCTCTATAAACTTCACTAAACTGTCCTCGGCCAATCTTCTTTTCTATTCGGTAGTTGGCTAGTGTATTGTAGCCCATGTCAGGTCGTAAAGATTTCTGTAATAAAAAAAAAAAAATGTAAATGTACTTTGCACCATATAAACTGTATATTTCAAATACAGTCCACACAGCAACTGTACACCAGCATCTTAACGTGACCAATCTTGTGAATATTTACATGCATGTTCAACTTTAAACACTCCACTGAAGTCAATAAAACCTCTGAAGTGCTTATAAATTTGCAGAATCAGGGCTTAACATTATTAAAATATTTCGGTATTTACTTTATTGCACATACCCAAACCAACGTTATCTGAACTAGTCACAAAATTCTACAAAGGCAAGTTCTATGGTGCCTGTTCTTTGGGAGTCACTTATTTGATATATTACAGGTATTAAGATATATTAGAAAAATTATAAATGTATCAGGAAGATGACTTATAGCAGCTTCATAACAGAAACCCTCAGTAAGGTAGTACTGTATCATTCCTTGTTTTCACTTTCAAAAGATATGCAACAGACCTTTGACCACATTTATAACTAAACATTCTAAAAGCAGACACCGGTAATTTTACAAGATTTCTTATATTCAATTCTGTTGAGGTCTGTTAATGCAGAATAAGTATTTATGTATATACTTCACTTATTTTGATAGAAATGGCACATATCAACGTAAAACTATATACTAAAATACAATGTCTGGTTTGATAACTGCCAAGCTTTGAGGCACAGCATAACGAAGCAATCTATAAATTTGTAAAACTGGCTTTCGTTATATAGCACTGTAAAATACAGCTTCATTAAATAAGCTATATTTTAAAAGTACCATGTGCTTCAAATCTGAATTGGGACTTGCGGCCTCTGTCTTCACAGTAACTTGACAAATATTAGCGTGAACTACTAAGGCAGTGTGACAACCGCATGCTGAGAGCAAAGTCTCACTAATGTGTTTTGGCATGCAGGTTTGTAATCACACATTTACATATGCAATGACCTACATTTGCATGTCAGATCACACACTGTCTTGCTTTATTAAGACCGGGCACCTCCCTGTGCTTGGCGGCCAGAGTGGCGAGAGAGGGCCAGAGGGCGGTGTTTTTTGGCAGTTGAGGGATGAACTGCCACCAAGGATTAGGCTGATATGGCCTGAGCATTAGACACTTCATTAGAGGTAATCTGTTTAACAGTGGGCAGTATATGTAAACTTCACAGCCCATTTGCGGCACCTTTTCCCCCCCATGGCCTTTCTTCAAAGGGCAGTATGGCTGAGTGACAGCTTGTCTCATCTGCTCCCTTGTCCTGTCATACAATTTAGATGTGGTGAGCTGACATGAGAAGCAACATAGCTGCACATCTCCAACCACCACTGGGTCTTTCCTAGCCACAACGCAATTTGTACAGAAATCAGCTTATGCAGGATAAAGGCTTCCTTTGGTCCCAGACCATAAGAGAACATATTATATACACTTCACTAATGATAACATTACATTTTATCCACCAAGTAAACCAGTGAGCGCTCCCACTCATCTTTAATGTTACAGTTTCTATATAACTGTTGTCTATACAATGATTTTTAAAATACGACTTTCCAAATTTTAGATTTTGAGGATTCTGGACAACATATCTATTAAAACTGTCATAGAATATTGGTCTTTGTTGCTCTCTGATGCACTTCCATCTATAGGGCTGTTTCACTTTTTTACTATAATCAGACATAATCTTGGGTTTAAAAAAAAATGAGACAAGTAGAATATTTTTAGTAGCTTAGCATCAAAGCATGAGTAGTTAAAAAACAAGTACTGTAATGCACTAGTAATTTCACCAGGAAAAATGATTGCTAATAAACAAGACATTAGCAATACAATCTTTTGACAAGTGCCAAATTAGCATTTAGTAGGAATGGTTTCTATCAAAGGCCAGCACATACAGACCCTAGAGAAGGTTCCAAGGAGACCATAGCTACACAAGGCAATCACCGCTACAAATCTCCTGGGGGACCTTTGGCCAAGGCCACAGCATCCAATACGGGCAGTGTTATAGAGCAGTTTCTCAAACCATGGGTCGTGACCCAAAAGTGGGTCACAAGAATATATGAAAGGGTCATAAACAAATATTTAAAATGGATTCTCCATTACAGGAGAAAAACTTGGGAAACTGTGTCTTCCCTTGAAGGCTGGCAGAGTTTCAGTCTGCAAGGGGCTGCTTGGGGCCCCCCATGCCCTGCACACACACACACACACACACACACCTCCCATCCCACACAGCCACCCCCTACTCCACATGTTGGGGGGGCGGGGGACCAGGGGTGGGGGGCAGCAGGTCAGGAGTGATGGGCACTGGGTTGAGACTGGCTATTGATGTTTACAAAATGGGTCCTGGTACAAAAAGAGATTGAGAACCACTATTGTAGAAGACTTACAGGACAGGAGACATCCTAATTCAGAGCATTTTCCAAGACAGCCTAGTTATGGCCTCCATTGTCTCCCATTTCCTCATAGGATAAACAATCTTCAAAAGTACCTAAACTCCAGTTACTTTCAATGAATCAAGCCACTGACTCAGAATCAGTGAGAATCCACCCGTTGCTTACACAATATGGCAGGGGTAGACAATTATTTCGGGCGGAGGGCTGCTTACTGAGTTTTGGCCAGTCATTAAGGGCCCCATGATAGGCAGCTAGGGGCAGATAAATATTAGTTTTCTAAATTTTTAGGGGCCCTGTGGGCTGGATAGAATGGCCTGGCAGGCCCATCCGGCCCACGGGCCGCATTTTGCCCACCTCTGCGGTATGGAATATGTTGTCTAAAGTCTATGCATAGAACTCCTATGGAACTATAAAGACAATTAAGGAGCCGTGTCCCCCTGCCCCAACAGAAATCTCAGTAGGACGTAAGGAAAGAGAGCCCTACCTAGTGCAGCATGGTGTATCATGGAATTCTTGAGTTAACAGGACTAACAGCAATGAAGATATTTCATTCTGACGCAAGTCTACCATACCTTTTTAAACTAAGCCACAATTCAGATTTGAAAACTATATATCATAAAAGAGCCAACACTCCCTGAGGAAAGATATCTTGTGCCTGAAAGCTGGTCACATGTCTCTCAACTATATCACTGGTCCATTAAAAGATATAATCCAAGGAAATCTTGCTTCTTACACATTGCAATAACAGGCAGGCTGACTCCATAGTTTCCTTTTTTTTTACTTTTAGGACAATCATAATCCACTAAAATGCAGGTATTTAAGCCCTTTCATCCAGATACTCTACAACATTTTAGGCATCCGTATCCCATAGTTCTGCAGCTGCAAATGGGCTGTAGTATACACTGAAATAACCCAAGAAGAGGAATTACTTCAATTCATCTCACTGTCAAGTGGTGACATTTAAATGTATCACTGTAAATTACTCAGCTGGACATTTCTGCCAAAATGATCAATATTTAACTACCATTCTTCATAGATCTTAGGGTCGGAAGGGACCTCAATAGATCATCGAGTCCGACCCCCTGCATAAGCAGGAAAGTGTGCTGGGTCTAGATGACCCCAACTAGATACTCATCTAACTTCCTCTTGAAGACCCCCAGGGTAGGGGAGAGCACCACCTCCCTTGGGAGCCCGTTCCAGACCCTGGCCACTCTAACTGTGAAGAAGTTCTTCCTAATGTCCAATCTAAATCTGCTCTCTGCTAGCTTGTGGCCATTATTTCTTGTAACCCCCGGGGGTGCCTTGGTGAATAAATACTCACCAATTCCCTTCTGTGCCCCCATGATGAACTTATAGGCAGCCACAAGGTCGCCTCTCAACCTTCTCTTGCGGAGGCTGAATAGATCCAGTTTCTCTAGTCTCTCCTCGCAGGGCTTGGTCTGTAGGCCCTTAACCATATGAGTGGCCCTTCTCTGAACCCTCTCCAGGTTATCCGCATCCCTCTTGAAGTGCGGCGCCCAGAATTGCACGCAGTACTCGAACTACGGTCTGACCAGCACCCGATAGAGGGGAAGTATCACCTCCTTGAACCTATTCGTCATGCATCATACTCAACTTGGGGGGAGGTGGGTAGTGGAGTCCCCCAGGGCTCGGTCCTGGGGCCTGCGCTGTTCAATTTCTTCATCAGCGATCTTGATGCTGGGGTGGAAAGCAACCTGTTTAAATTCGCTGATGACACCAAAATTTGGGGGGAGGTGAGCACGCTAGCAGGGAGAGAGAGATTGCAGAAGGATCTGGATAGGTTACAGGGGTGGGCAAACAGGAACAGGATGTGTTTCAATACGGACAAGTGCAGGGTGCTGCACTTGGGTAGTAGGAACCAGCAGCACACTTATAAGATGGGGAGCTCCCTACTTGAGAGCACGGAGGCGGAAAGGGATCTTGGTGTCATTATTGACTCCAAGATGAACATGGGCCGACAATGCGAGGTCATGGTTGGCAGGGCTAACCGGACCTTGTCGTGCATCCACAGGTGCATCTCGAGTAGAGCCAGGGAGGTGATCCTCCCCCTCTATGCGACGCTGGTCAGGCCGCAGCTGGAGTATTGTGTCCAGTTCTGTGCGCCCCATTTCAGGAGGGATGTGGACAACATGGAGAGGGTCCAGAGGAGGGCCACCCGCATGATCCGGGGACAACAGGGCAGACCCTACAGTGAGAGACTGCGGGACCTGAACCTATTCAGCCTCCACAAGAGAAGGCTGAGGGGGGACCTGGTGACCGTCTATAAACTCACTAGGGGGAACCAGAAGGGTTTGGGGGAGACGCTGTTTCCCCTAGCCCCCGCTGGCATAACAAGGAGTAATGGGCACAAGTTGATGGAGAGGAGGTACAGATTGGACATCCGAAAAAACTACTTCACAGTTAGGGCGGCTAGGTGCTGGAACCAACTTCCAAGGGAGGTGGTGCTGGCCCCTACCCTGGGGGTCTTTAAGAAGAGGCTGGATGCCTACCTGGCTGGACTCATTTGAGTCCCGTTTTTGTTTTTAGGGTTTTTTGTTGTTCTCCTGCCCTGGCGGGGGGGCGGGCTAGAAGATCTATTAGGTCCCTTCCGACCCTAAAACTATGAAACTATGCTGATGCACGATAAAGTGCCATTGGCTTTTTTGATGGCTTCGTCACACTAAGGAAGCAGGGGTTCCACCCTGCCTCCCTCTTGGCTCTTCGAATTCTTAGTTTACCACAGCTGATAGCAAGATCAAATTTCTATCCCACTCCTGTCAGATGGCCAAAACTTAAATTTCTCTCTCTTCCCTTCCCAAGATTTCCTAAACTACACAATACAGAAGCCTACTGCCAACTGACCATATAAAAATTAAGGGGAACACACTATCAATTGAATTTTAAAGCCAATCACCTGATGTAGTATTCTCATGTTTAATTCAACAAAACCCTGCTTTTTACACGCATCTGAAGTGATGCAGAATCTTACATCTAATGTACTGGAATGCTACTTCACCACTTATCTTAAATTCTTATATGACCCCAGACCTCCAATTATTGCATTCATCTTTAAACATACCTGTAAGGTAATAAAAACATCTTATCTTATCTATATCATAGATAAGAAACTAAAGATACTCAAAAGGTATTTAACAACTAGACTTGCATCAATTTCAACAGAAGTCTAGTGCCTTAATACCTTTCAGGATCTCAACCTAATTTACTCAGCCAAAAGGGAAGCCTGAGGCATAGCAAGAAATTAAACATTAGTCCCTTATCATCCAACTACTCTACAAAATGTGTATAATTGTTTTGTAGTGTTCATTTTCAAATTGTGCCCTGTGGAACCCTGGGGTTCTGCAAAACATCATCAGGGGTTCTGTGAAGAGATTGGGAGTAATGGCAGAGCAGGCCAAGAGGCAGTGTGCTGCCACTACCAAGTCAGGTTGCTTGTCTGTTTCAGCTCACAGGATAGGGGTAGGGGTTTTGCAGCATTAGAAGTGATATGAAAGAGTTCCATGACTTTGGAAAGTTTTTAAATACTGGTATAGAACACTCTCCCACAAACTGAATCCCCATTGCAGAATTTAGTCAAGCTTCCCCATGAAATACAGAGAGTTTTTTTTAATAATATTAGCTTCTCAATGTTATGCTGAAACTTCTACTGATTTAACCTGAACATAGAATGGTATTTCCAAATTAATTTGAACTGAGTCATTAAACTGTTTGGCTAATTATACTCATTTCCCTTTTTCAAAGTAACTGTGACGTTCCAGAGTAATTTAATTTGTATTTAATTTAATTTTTCCATTTAATTTAATTTGTTTTCAATTTGTACATACATACAGTTTTATAACCCAGAGAATTAGTTCACAGGTTTTCCAGCTCTGAGATGTAATTATTCCCAAATCAATATTTCACATCTTCTCCTTCATCTGTTGTATTACTTTCTTCTAATGTTTCTCCTCCTAAATTACCAAGGCATTAATCATTACCACTATCTTAAGCTGAGATAGGAGACCATAAGTAATTTTGAATACATCATTCATATTTTAACTGAAAATATGTCTTACAGTTTGTTTCATCGTTAATTTTTTCACAATTGCACAGCTTTAACAAGCTGAAGCTATCAGATTTAATATGCATATCCAGCTCACAGGGGGAAAAAAGAGGTCAACAAGGTGAAAATGTCACTAAGTGACACTATCAAAATAATTCTGTGGCATATTAATCTATTTATATATTTGGCTAACAAAGTAATATGCACCTCATTCCTCAAAATGCAAAACAGTCAGAACTATGCCCATGACCTTTCTAATCTAAAGAAAAAAAAGAACAATTGCCTATCTACCTTGCAATGGAGTAATAGCAAGTATACTTAAAAATGCCTGAAGGTTAACCAAGGATAAGAATACATGTTGGTTTCTTCTGTTGGAGATGTCTACTAGGGTACTGCAAGAACCCTGTTAGGCCTGGTCTTGTTTAACATTATAATTAATGATACTCTCAAGACTGATGTAAGATAGTTTAAAAACAAACGAACGAACAGGCTGCCAAAGATCAGCAGGAGTGGGGGAAAGAGGTTTTTGGAAACAGGCATAAACCCTACCCAAGCTGACAAATATGATTGTGCCTTCTGCTCAGACAAGGAGAAGAAAAGTCTATAATAAATATGGCGAGCTTTTATGAGATTCACAATATAAAGATTCTAGTAGCATCGTAAATTGTCTCATCAAATATATCCTTAAGAGAAATGAACATAAGCTGTCACATTTGTTGCAAAAATACTTGTTAAAATTGAATATATGCAATTACATCTTAAATGTATAAATGTTTTGTTCTCTAGAATTAAAAAAAAACAAACAAAACATTCCTGCATATGTATACTTAACAGCTACTCCACTGCACGCAGGGAAACACAAGCTCTGTTAAATACTGGTCACAAAAATAAAGATCAGTACTAACACATATGCATGATCACCTGTAACTTTAGAATAACCATGTATTGCCACATCCACTTTATTATTCAGGTTAAAAAACTGTGAAGCAAAAAAATTAAGCTTCCAACCCTGAAGAAGAATTCAAGCGTGTAATTTTACTGTGGCAAATTATAATGACTTCAGTAGGATTCTTCACAGCAGACAAAACAGATAGATGTCCTTGGATAAGTTTGTGAAGGATCATGGCTCAAGTAGAATTTTTTTCCCTCCAGCTTTTAAATAAAATTAAAGCAACACAACATGTTTACAAGAAAGTTTATGAGCAATACCTAAATATTATTTGTTCTCTGATAATCTTTTCTTTATTTCACACCATCACCCCAAACACAAGGATAATTAAATCTCTTTCACATCCTCCCTGTCACGGGGCTTCCATAAGTGGGAATTTCTCTTTGTCTGTTTTCTATAAGGAAAGACATTAACCCTCACAGGACCAGCAGCAGGAGGTGTAAGAAGAGAAGGTTAAAAGGAGCAATCTGAAATAAATGTGGTAACTCTGACATAATTTTGAAATGAATAGTGTTTAACAGCTCAGTCTCTCTCAGGAAAACAATTACTTTCATTTTTGCCTCCCACCGCCACTCCAACCTTTCCCAGTGGGTGAAGCAGTAGGGGGCAGAAATGAAAGTTTTTTTTTTTCCTGTGAAACATAAGACTGATATTCATTAAAATTTCAAGATAACCAAAATGACATTAAATTTCTTTATGGCTTCTTTTTCCATAAACGTCTTCAGACAGAAATAGCCAAAGACATCTGGTCTTATAATATTCACTTTAATCATCAGTGGTGATGAAGTCAGTTATGCTACTGCACATGATTATCTCAATTATCTTAATGAACTATTGCGCTGAATACCATGCTAAAACACTTGTGATATACAAAAAGCCCTCTGTCTTGCAACACCATTGTATAATGGATAAAAAGTATTTGAAGTTCAATAATTTTTTTTCTTTTGTCCTCTGCATGTTATTTTAACATCTGTTGCTCCTACGTGATTATAAAAATAACATACCTGTGGCTGAAACTGTGGAACAGGAGGCCCCTGCATGCCTTGTGACTGTTCATCCATTGTGTCAAATAACAGGACGTTTTGGTTCTGCAAACACAAAATATATATATGTATATGGATTAAAACAACAGGTTGATCAGAGTTTATATATTCACTGCTTATTTTATGAGCATGTTTCAATTATACTAATACAAATAAAATGCATCACTAAATTTTAATTCAAAATGCTAAATTCTTCTAAAAGCAGATTGACAAAAGAATGAACCTCGATGCTAAGAATTTTCTGAAATTTGAATCTGCAAATCTAAAATTTTAGCCGTTGTTTGGAAGGTGATTGTTTTAAGCTGTCTTTTAAAAAGAATTATTGTGCATATGCAAACGACAACCTATGAGGCAATCAGCAAGGACTGAACCTGGGATGCCCAGGTTCACATAGAAGATCACTGTGACTTGAACTAAGCAATGACTCAGTGAAACTAAATCAGTAAAACCCACCCTGGCATCCTCTATATCAGGGCATCAAAGATGCAGCCTGAAGAGCTGTTTCACCCAGTGATTAAAGTGGGGCTAAAAATTCAGACTCCTGGATGAAATGTTGTTCACATGGAATTCACTCATTTGTGAATTTCTATGCAGCAATAGTCCCAATTTAGAGACAAGAGTTAGGGATGAGTTATGAAAACTGCAAAATGTTCAGAATTATTAACAAACAGGTTTGAGTAGATTCATAGATTGTAAGGCTGGAAGTGACCTCAGAAGATCACCAGGTCCAACCCCCTGCACCAGGCAGAAAAAATGACAAGTGGGGTCAGGTGACCCCAGTAAGATGACAATCCAGTCTCCATTACAGATCCAGCTAATGAGTTTTTATGAGAATGGTTCATCAAACACTGTATGGATTTAAACAAATATTGTAGGATCATTTCATAAGAGATCAACAAAACCAGGGAAAAGACAAGAGCGAAGAGATTTCAAAACTCAGGAAGACAGCTTTTTGTTCCCAAGTTATTACACCCTTTGGTATTAGAAGCATATTGAAGCATCTGTTTTGCCTGTTTAATATGTGAACCTCTACCTCTATTCAAGATGATCAAATAGAAGCAATTCTTACTGCATGTGAACAGAGGGATGATTTTTTGTAGTTTATAACTGAGCCAACTCTAGAAAGATTTTCATAGTGACACCAAAAGTCACAACTCTGACATCAAAACTAGCTTATACCCAAATTTCGGATTCCTACGTCAAAACAATGATAGTGGGGGACGGGAAAGTAGCCTGAAGAGCGGAAATCTACCCACCGTCTCCACTGAACTCATTCAAAAAACAGTCCAAACTATTTTTGCTTAAACATTCCTATCTCCCTGAAACAAAACAAAATAAATAAAACAGGGCAAAAACCAACACAACATGAAAAAATTCAAATACAAGTAGGTAAAAGGAAAAAGCCTTTTTTTCTGTTGCTTTAATAGAAAACAGCAGGCAACCTTTACAACAGGCACTAACTTTAATATACAGCTTATACATTTTTGCAAGAGACTTACAATTAAGTTTTAGTGCTGTATGTTTTATTACTAAAGGATTCAAACACTCTAAGCCCCAATTATGTCATATCATATTTGTAAACATAAAGCTAATTGTGCATTTCATGGGTGTGTTCTGAGGAAACTGTTGGATGATGGATGTTATTAATTTTATGAAGTTCATGTATTTTTAAAAATAAAAATCCAATAGAAAGGGCTCCCTGCCTGAAAAGCAAAACCTCCACCTACAGTAATCTACTATATCCTGTTCCTATTATTACTATTGTAGAAATAAACTTGCAAAATGGTAAGTGAAACTTTTAAGCAGAAACAATTCTCTTCACGTATCCCACCTAATGACATAGTGCAAAAAAGCCTTTAAGGCTCAGATGTATATAATATAGACTTAACAAAACCAACAATCATTTTTACAGGATTTTTTTCTGGCCAACTTTAAAAATGTATTTTGGATTGATTCCTTCCCAACTACTTAAGTGGCATTTTTGGGTTGGTTGGTTGGTTTGTGGGGGAGGCATGTTTTTTGGGGTTTTTTTTAATTAACTGCAACATATCTATTCTCAAATTAATATCTACTGTTCACAGTATTTTACTTATCCCTAGAGGATACCAGTACTTTCAGGATGGTATTGTTACCAAGATATTAAAAAGATAGAACTGTCACAATAACAGTATCACAACTTTATAGAAGCTACTACGCTTCTAAAACGACTATGTATTAACCTTGCTTTCAGTGAATTAGTAAAAATAATCCTTAATGTCAAACTTGAAAATGCATATTAAAAAGAAAATAAGCACAAAGAATTAGTATACATGTAAAAAGAACTGATATACTTAGCCTGTATTATTCTTTCATGTTTAACATTTTACAGCTTAATTCATGCAGGCAGAAGACAAAACTAGGTACAAAGCTACTTAGATCAATATCAAATATTTAGTTGAAAAAACACAAAAGGATTTTTTTGACCATTAAAAACATCAGATTACAAAATGTAAAAAAAAATATGCATGCAAGAACTATTTGCTATCCAAAAACTTCAACAAGTGGTCCCGTGCAAATCTAAAGAGAATCTATAGGAAAGCCAACTTCACCTCCTTATTCTAAACGTACTGACAAGTCCTTCTCAGAGCTTCAAGACAAATATTGTTCTTCATGTTCTTCGTACTGAGTTTCAGTGGGCACGTCTACAAGTTCATTAATGTACTTTTCCTAAGGCGCATTAAATTTAGTACCTAGGGGCATTTATATACATGGTTCAGGAATGGTGGCCCCGCACTTTAATTAAAAGCGGCTCCAAGAGCCATTCTAATTAAAGTGCCCAGAGCATCTTATCAGACTTCCTGTGCTTAAAAATGGTGGCAGAGGCACTTTAAGTAAAACTCAAGCTTTAGTTGAAGTGCCCCTGCCACCATTTTTAAGCGCAGAAACAGTGTGATGCACGAGACTCTGGAGTCTGCTGGAGTGTAGTGTAATTACGTTCCAGCAGACTCTATTAATTCAGTCTGCTCCAACGCACTGTAATTACAGCAAGTCAGAGCAGCCTTACTGTCCATTTATAGATGCCCTCCACTATGAAGTACTAAAAAAGCGCATTAACCTATTTTAATTCACATTAGCGAAAATGCACAGGTTTTTTGTGATGCTTTAATGTGCATTAGAATAGGCTAATGCACATTAAAGTGCATGTGTAGATGTGCCCAATGATACTTAATGAACAGCCTACCAAGCAGAACATGACCTTGAACTGGAAGGAATACAGTTTCTCTACATTCAAAAGATTTCATTGGGTAAACAATTGAATGCCAAAATGGAAAATGCATTTTAACCCAGCAGAATTCCAGCAATTAAGAGCAGTTAACCCAGGGATGGCTATTATTTGGACTGGTGGGCCACTGAGTTCTGGTGACCTGTCAAGGCCCACACCTCTCTCTCCCTATTTCCCCATCCTTCCTTCCCAGGGTTATGACCAGCATGGAAGCCTGAACCCACCCATAGCTTTTATATGACTCCACCCCCCCCCCCATCTGAAATTCACCCTGCTCCCCTATACTGTCTGGACCCAGCAGAAGCCAGCCACATCTGCAGCTGCCCAAACACAGCCAGTAGCTTCCAGTTGGAGCTCCAGGTGCGGGGGGGAGGGTGCTACAGCTGCAGGCTGCCACCAATGCGCAAGTCAGAAACCACCCACAGCTGTAGCATGCCCTGCCCTGCCCCTCCCTGCCATGCCTGGAGCCCCAACCCAAAAGCTGCTGGCTCCCCTTGGACAGCTCTGGACATGGCCAGGAGCTGCTGGGTCCAGACTCAGGGAGGAGGAGGAGGGGGAGGGGGAGGGGCAGGGCACACTACAGCTACAGGCAAGTTCATGCTTCCACTTCCACACTGGTGGCAGCCCTGACCAAGACAGAGACAGAGAACATGCACCTGGCACACTAAAAACAGCTCCAGCCTCCTGACATGACGCAGCCTCCTACAGGCTGGATCCATTCACTTGGCAGGCGCCCACCTCCAAGCTAGATCCAGTTAGTTGGCAGGACAGATCCAGTCCCTGGGCCGTATTTTGCCGACCCCTGTAATTACCCTTCCATTCATACTCTCACGGAAGAGCAAGTGCCACTTCTGAGAAAAAAGAAAAAGCTCTCTCAGGATTACCCAAGATGCAGCCCTATTCAGTCTCCCTCTCCTAAGAGGAACCCCTGCAGTTAGCCTTAGCAGAGCTTCACAAGGGGGAGCCTCTGGCTTTGAGACCCTGGCTCTTCTCAGTTCCTGGTGATCCATAGCATCTCCATCTCTGAAACCTCCTTTTGTTCATCAGCTCCCGGGAAAAGGAGTGGGGAGAGTTTCTTCTTTTAAAAGAGGAATATCAGCACCCCAAATAACACAACAGCAGTCTCTAGTCTACAGTCAGATCTAGACGATCTTCCCCTAGACTGAAAAGGGTATAGAGGTGCTATACTTATAAAACTACTTATAGCAAAGCTTACTCACTGAGCATCCCCAGTAAGTGTTCACCACAATAACTTCATGCTGGAACTCAGCTCACTCAACCCTTTTTGTCACATATGCATACATAATACTTGTGAAAAAGAGGACCATCCTAGAGTTTGTGGATAAAAGACCAAGCATAAAATCTCAAAAGCAGATTTTAATATTGTCCTGGGCTCCATGGCAATCATTCCTGATGAATGACATGATTTTTATTCCATCTATACTACACTAGCTGGGGAAAAAAAAATTAAAAAAATCAGGCCATATCTTTCCAATGGCAGTATCTAGCCAAAGCATCATCACATCCTAGTGCACGTTCCAATCAGGCAACTGGTTGGGACTTCACAACTTATCCTATCTACCCACAATATGTATATATAAACATGCATATTTGGGGAAGTTTGTTGTAATTAACCCAAACCTTAATAAAATCTAAACAGGGTCAGAGAGATAATATTTAAACTTTTAGCTAAATTTTAATATTTAAACTTTAAACTTTTAGCTAGTTTTAATCTTGATGGCTCAAGACAGGAAGAAAAATAGGAAGAACTGCTAAAGAAACC